ATACATATATATATATGCACTAAAATTTCAGTAACACTAAAGACACTACATTACAGAGCATCTTAGGGATGGTAAGTTGATATAAGATCATTTTTTACTATAACTAAATGAAAATGTATACGTTTAAATTGCTGGTTAGATGATTTCTGTGGGAGATAGAACACATTTGCATCAGTCGACAAACACAATTCCTGCAGGAGCTTAAGAGTCAATTTATTAGGAGCTTCGACACAGCAATGAGATTGTTTAAGGTTTCAGAGAATAATGTGTGCAATCAGGTGGGTGGATTGATTTTTAAAGGTTATCCATCAGTTGAGTAAATAAAAATCTTATGCTTAATTGACCTGCCTGGGTAAATTAGGTTAACTGGCAATAAATTGTAGTGCCCCTGGTAATGAAGTCAAACAAGGCCCCCTTCGCTCTAATTCTCAGGGCTGGGGGTCAATTAAATTTCAACTGAATTTAGTTAGTGTGTAGATATAAAGTCCATTACCTGATGACAGAGTACTTTCATTCATTTCACCTAAAGCTGAACATTACCACTGAAGAAATAACAAACAGTCTTACTTGTGACATCAATTCTGTGTTCATTTTTACTTATTAACTGAAGAAATCAATTTCACTGCTGAACTATTGGCAAAAGATGATATGACACATTCACAGCCACTTAAAGTTAACAGCAAGGTGAGCAGCCAGTGAATCATTTCTTTCATTGTATTCCTTACTGCTTGTATTAACATAATTGTTCGGGTCATTTAATGACATAATATGCCACTGCCTTGTCTAGTATGTAGAACAATATTAAGAGAATTTGTCTGAGACTAATTAAAGACCTTCATGAATTAGTCTTAACAATGGTGTATGGAAAACAGACTTTAATCGCAGGTTAACGGTTAAAAAAAAGAATAAAATCAAATAGTAAGAAATGCACCTGCCCCAATCTGCTGGTTTCTTCTTGACAAAAATGCCAAATAACATTTCTATTAACAGCTCCTCTTCTGTTATACCTCTTCTAATCAAGGAAAAATCTACTTCACAAAGAATGAGTGTTAAAAAAAACGAGTAATGTTCTTGCCACTTATGCAACCTCCTGCAATGAGTGCCCTTTTCATGCCTAAAGCAAGTATGCATGTGGACCGACTTCTATAGACGTGTTTGGAAACATAATCATGTTTCAATAAACTGCAACATATCTATCTCTTTAAAAATGTCTCTTCACGTTGGCTTCTGACATTCAAAGTGTACCTGAGAGGAGATGAGGTAGAGGAACTCCGCGAGTGGTGGCAGCAGGAGCCGTTTTATTTTACTGTTCCTTAGATTATCCCTCAGCAGGTCTGTTAGTGTGGACACAGCCTGCAAAGAGCATGACAAACACTTTCAATAGTACTTCTATTTTCAATTAAAGTTCAATCACATGAAAATTTAAAAAACAATAATAATAATAATAATAATAATAATTAAAAAAAAAAAACTATCTGCACAATAAAATTACAATTCATTTTACATTTATATATTTCCCTAGGGCTGGACATATTCTATTTTTTAATACAAGCCAGGGGCATCTGTATTACCCAGAGACATCACCAGAAGCATGGCAATGCTCTGCTAGCACATAAAAATTTCAACTTCAAAACTCTTATATTCTAACATTATTTTTAAGTTGAGGTAGCAAATACAAAAAGCTTAGCTAAAACCAAATATCTAATTTATGAACGCAATCAACTAAAAATATTAAGGAAAAACAGGAAAATTGATTTTGTCAAAGTCACTAAGGCCACTATTACAGAGATCATAATTTCAAAGCCTGCAAAGCTGTCCCACTGTGTAGGATTATAGTCCAAATCTACCAGGAGCTGCCTGTGTTGTAGTCAACAAAAACCTGGTCTACAACTTTTGAGGAACGAAGACATGCATATTATTTAGAATTTGATGACTAAAACGGCAACAATGTCATGCTAACCTGAAAAACATTTAACAACTGTTTGTTTTAGTAAAGCTGAACAATTATCCACTGATGTTCTTTGAAAGAACCTGCAAATGCAATATTGCCACTTCTTCTATGAGGTTAACACAAAGCCAGTAGTGAAAGGCTGCAGGACCCAGAGTAATGCTCAGGTTGGATCTTCCCAAACAAATCCACCAGTCAAAGCTTGACTTTGAGAAAAAATGAGTGATGAGGTCAACAGGTTTACAGCACTGAGGTTGGTTTTTACAGTAGGGACACTGCTCTCACATCAAATACTCCTTGGGCAATAAACTGTTGTATAAGTTGCATAATGTTAAAAAACAAACAAACAGCAAAAATGTGTAACAAAATACTTTGTGTATGGAGTTAAAATATAATATTATGGTTTACCTTTTAAGTAAGGACAAGATTATTAGCTGCTGGAAGAAGACATAATTGGTTTATCTATAGCCCTGTGAAAGGCTGGAAACATGTCCAGGGTGTATTTCATGACTTAGAGGATGGATATGCTCAAGGCCCTCTATTCATCCAGTTCAGGGGGGCAGAGTTAAGAAAACAGAAGCATGGATGGGATATACATTAAATACAAAAAAAATAAAAAAAAATCCCATTCAACTCAGATGTAAACACACACACACAGACTTAATTATATGCAAACACAGCCTTTCTGGCTGGCTGCTTCCTGACATTAGCATTACTGCCAGCTTTTCCCCCTCTGTGATCTGATGCAAGTTCTGCCTCATTCCTCTTTTGTTCCTGCTTTATTCTTTATTTTTTCCATTGTTTCCATTCTCTCCCAGTTTTGTATCATTTCTGTATTGTTGAACACATTTTCTCCTTCTCTTCCATTTTAAATTTGCCTGCTGTGATTCTATTACAGCTCTCTCACCAATCCTGTTTGTTAGCTATGTTGTTCTGTCTGTCCATTTTAGGGTGAGGTAGTGTGACAGATTATAATGTTCTCTCCCACAGAAAGTTTCACTACAGTTACACTCAAGCGATTGTATTTTGCCATTTTCCAATCTTCTCTCTCACTCCCTTAGTGAGATCAAACCACTAACAATTTCTAAATGGAAAAGGTTGGGAATTAATATGCTGGGGTGTGTTAGAAACTGGTCAAGCAGCTGTACTCAGGGAGAGGGGAGAGGTAGAGAAAAAAAAAGCCTACATGAAGACATATAAAAAATAATTCCCAGAGAACACCTTACAATTATCTCAGCATCAGCACTTCAGGTGAAAACTATGCACATCAATGCACACAAGGAAATACAAACCCATGCACTTAATTAACACACATAAACAACAACGCAGACACACACACACACACACACACACACACACAATAAACAGTGCGATGACCAGTTACTGCGGTGGACTATTAGCCTTATAGAAGACTGAAGACTCAGCCAGAATTAATAGGTAATACAAGCCCATAAGGCGGTGACAGAGGAGACTGACCTATAAATCAGTACACCAGATTTCAATCCCAGCTGTCATAGCGTGAAAGGCGGGGGCACACCTGGATAGTTTGTCAGTTTGTTGCACGGCTAAATTCAGATTAATGGATCACATATCTTATACTAACAATGTGAGGCACAGATTATCACAGCATCTAAAAACACATTCACCAAATATCTCTAGGAAACAAGACTTTTATATTGTTTACCCATAAGAGTAACCAGACGTGCCACTTTAATCAACTTTATTTAACTTTAATCAAAATCAGTCTTAACATAATTACACAACACAGTCGGTCCAAACTTTTTTTTCTTTTTTACAAAGGATATTTAGAAATCCAAAAATGTCTTTGTTGAGCCATTGCCCTCTGAATATGTCTTCTTAAGGATTGCTGTGAGCTTTTAAAATTCATTGCTTTCCTATAACCCTTCACAGTTCAAGCTTTTGTGGCAAAACTCCCAGAAAATCTGGGGAAGATCATGTGTAGTGGATTTTGAAAGCACAGCTTCTCTATCTCACATTAAGAAAGCAAGAAACATGCATTAGTAACATTAAAACACAACATTTATTTTTCATTTAATTCTATTTGACAGCTGAAGGACAATGACAGACTCACTGTAGAAAGACAAAAGAGAAACAAACAGGACAGGAAGAAAGAACAGTGAGACAGGAAGAGAGACAGACGAGTGTGTCTATTGAAGAGTAATGAAAGCATATAGCAGCTACCATGGTAACTAAGCCCAGCCCCTAAACTCTGATTACCAGAATATCAGTGAGAGGACCCCTGCTGAGAAAACACACACACACACACACACACAAAAAAATCTTTTATTGGTCATCTGTTAGCATCACTATAACATAAGGACACACACAAACACAGATGCACCAAAAGAAGGAAAAAAAACAAACAACCCCCCCCCCCCCACACACACACACACAAAATATCATAAAAGAGACCCCTGCTGAGTCCTCGCATAAACATGGTTTAAAAAAAAAAAAGCACACTTGCAGAAACACACAAAACACCTCTGCTGCGTCTATAGATGGACACACGACTACAGACACAAAGATTATTTATATAATGCTTTTTGTTATCCTTGTCATTAGTAGCTGATTTTTTTCCACTCATCATTGGTTTTTAACAATTCACTAAAGAGAAACTGCGATGCCAAAGTCGTCCATTTTGTATATCGCTGTGATGACTCGGTAAATGGTAAATAGACTGGTTCTTATATAGCGCTTTTCTACTCTTCTGAGCACTCAAAGCACTTTACACAACATGTGCATTCACCCATTCAAACAAGCACATTTTCTTAGTGCTTTCTAACTAACATTCACACTCACATTCATACTCCGAGGGATGCATCGGAGAGCAATTTGGGGTTAGTATCTTGACCAAGAGGCATGCAGACTAGGGGAAGCCAGGAATCAAACCACCAGTATCAGTAGATGATCAGTAGATGACCTGCTCTACTGCCTGAGCTACAGCCATCCCAGTAGCAGCAAAGAGCCAGAAGACAACTGGTGTGGTATAAAACAGTTCTCTGGCGTAAGATGTCGACAGTAAACCATGGTAAATAAGAATAAGCCCTGGGCATCACTGACAAATAGCACATAGCTAGATCTCTGTGCCATTTATACACCCCCAGTAGATTCTACTTTGATGAAGCCATTTTTTAAACTCCATCAAGAATCTGCCAATGTCCAGGACTCAAAAAAATGATGCCTGATATGATGAAACTACAAATCAGAAACTACTTGTTTTGTAAGTCTCACTGGTAATGCGTCTCTCCCTTCTGCTTGTACATAGTTAACAGAAAGTTCAGAGGGGACTCTTTAGAGAAATGGCTCAACAAGGGAAACCGATAAACTGCAATGCTTATGATGGGTCCTAGACAGTGATGACAAATCTGCAAAGGCTTTAAAGTTACATTATCTGACAAATCACATATCAGTATATAGTAAAAATCAGACAAACAAAAACAAGACAATCAATACATTCCTGCCAATATGGCCACTGGTAATATCAATATTTTATCATAAGGCTAATTTCTCTCATTTGTGGCACTAAACATGACCATGTAAGTACCATGGCATCTATGTCAGCATGTGCATAGGCACATTCATAAAAAAGGTCACTAAATATTGTTTATGGATGACCCATGATAAATTAAAATCTTCCACCTAAACCACTGTACTATTGAACATATAGTGGGGCAAAAAAGTATTTAGTCAGCCACCGATTGTGCAAGTTCCCCCAC